ATTTATTTATTTATTTGTGTATTTATTTATTAATTGTTTTTGCAGGTTTCGTCCTCCATACACACACACACACACACACACACACACACACTGTAGCTTTGAGGAATTTGATTAAAGGTATATTACAATATTCTTCTGTAGTACCTACATTGGTTTTTATATTGACAATTATAATTTTTTTGGTGTTAAATGTAATAGCAAGGTTTTGAGATCACTAATTACAAAATATTTTTTCCTCTTCCTACCATTTCCTTTGGTACCTAAAATGAAAGAAGTAGGGTGAAGTCTGCAAAAGACTTCTGTCTTTAAAACTGTGATTTAAATACAAATAAATCAATTCTACCAACACAATTTATGCTTTAAACAAATTCTCAAAGTCTCTTGTATCCCCCAGTATGTTTTCTGAAAGAATATTGGTTGTTGTTTTAAACATACAGAGATTAAAAAATGTTAAGTACCCATTTTTTTTCCTTCTGGCTTTTTCAGTTAAATTGGGACACTGCTTCTGGTAAAGTGGGACACACATGTTTTTCTAGTCTGTGCTTACAAAATACAATTTCCTACAGCAGGACATTGTACAAATACTCTTTTGCAATAGAAAATCTTCAGAAATTTAAAGAATAACATTTATAAAACTAGACATATTAGCGGATTGTGTTATTGTGAACTCATACACACTTAATGTTTATTGAATTAAAACACTTCAACAGAAGCTTAAATTGTAAGAATTATTAAAGCAGTTCAACAGAAGTACAAATGTAAACAATTAAAACACTCCAACAGAAGGACAAAAACAAAGAATTGAATCACTTCTACAGAAGTACAATGTACTGTGTAGTATAAAAAAATGCCATGATTTCATCTATGATGTGCCTGCTTGCGTGATACTGTATTTGTTTCTAACTGTGTGCTTAAGTGTGTGTGTGTGTGTGTGTGTGACACATGTGTTCATATTTGTGTGTTTATGTTGTATGTGTGTAAAACATGCTTTCATATTTGTGTGTTTACATTGTGTGTGTGTGTGTGTGTGAGTGTGTGTGTGTAACACATGCTTTCATATTTGTGTGTTTATGGTGTATGTGTGTAAGTGTGGGTAAGAGTAGGCATGTGTTTGTTTACAGGCACTTTTTACACACAAAAACTTAATATTCACAAATTTCTATTCTTATTTTGTCTTCTGCCTACAGTTTGTGACATTTTCTGTAAAACAAAACAATTTCTCACAATAAGCAATGTATTATCTTTTAATTTAGAGTGTCCCACTTTAGCTGAATGCTACTGTCCCAATTTATCTTACATGTTCAGGTAAATTGGGACAGTAACAAAACTTAACATTTTTAAAAAATAGAACGAAGAAACGTGCACATCATTGCATAAAATTGTTTGTAATTAATTTTTTTTTATTTCTTACAAAATTAAAGGGGTCATATGATGCGATTTCAATTTTTCCTTTCTCTTTGGAGTGTTACAAGCTCTTGGTGCATAAAGAAGATCTGTAAAGTTGCAAAGACTAAAGTCTCAAATCCAAAGAGATATTCTTTATAAAAGTTAAGAGTCAGCCACACCTACCTAAAACGGCTTGTTCTAACACGCCCCCACATGTCTATGTCACAATGTGGGAACATTTGCATAACGCCGCCCAAATGTTCACGCAAAGAAAGAAGGCGTAACTTTTATTCTCGCTGTAGTATTGTTGCCGCTGCCGCCATGTCGTGAAGGCGCTGTGTGTTTCGTTGTGAAAG